AAAAATTTTCCATATATCCCAACCACAGTTTCCCCTCCTTCTACTCCTGCTATTAATGCCATCCCCATCCCTTCTCCTCCAGATCCATTCCTCCATTTTCCTTCAGAAAAGAGCAGGCCTCCCAGGCATATCCACATGGCATGACAAGTTACAAGAAGACTAGTCACAAACCTTCATATCAAGGCTGGGTGAGGCAACCCAGTAGGAGAAAAGGGTCCCAAGGGCAGGTGAAAGAGTGAGAGACACCCCACTCCCACTGTTAGGGGTCCCACAAAACACCAAGCTAACACCATAACATATATGCAGAGGACTAGCACAGAGATATTGTAGCTGGTGTGTGATCCGTACCTAGGAGACTGAAGCAGGAGCTTCTAGTTCTAGGTCACGGTTAGTGAGACCCTTTCTTTCTCAAGCAAACAAATATATAAATAAAAATAACGACTTGGTGTTGTGGCTCACCTGTAATTCCAGCATGAGGGAAAACCTTGTCTTGAAAAACAAAATCAGCAGAAAAAAGCAGTGGTTCTCAACTTTTTTAATGTTGCAGCACTTTAATGCAGTTCCTCATGTTGTGATCCCAACTATAAAATTATTTTATTGTTATTTCTTTTTTTTTGAATTTTATAACTTAATTTAATTTTACATATCAACCACAGATTCCCTTGTTCTCCCCCCTCCACACCTTCCCCCCATTCCCATCTCCTCCAGGGCAAAGACTCCCCTGAGGATTGAGTTCAACCTGGTAGATTCCGTCCAGGCAGGTCCAGTCCCCTCCTCCCAGGCTGAGTGAAGCATCCCTGTATAAGCCCTAGGTTCCAAACAGCCAGCACATGCACTGAGGACAGGTCCCGGTCCCACTGCCTGGATGCCTCCCAAACAGATCAAGCTAATCAACTGTCTCACTTATCCAGAGGGCCTGATCCAGTTGGGGGCCCCTCAGCCATTGGTTCATAGTTCATGTGTTTCCATTCGCTTGGCTATTTGTCCCTGTGCTTTTTCCAACCTTGGTCTTAACAATTCTCGCTCATACAAACCCTCCTCTTTCTCGCCAATTGGACTCCCAGAGCTCTACCTGGGGCCTGGCTGTGGATCTCTGCATCCGGTTCCTTCAGTCATTGGATGAGGTTTCTAGCACAACAATTAGGGTGTTTGGACATCCTATTACCAGAGTAGGTCAGTTTGGGCTTTCTCTTGACCATTGCCAGTCGTCTATTGTGGAGGTATCTTTGTGGATTTCTGTGTAGCACTTTGCTTCTTCCTATTCTCATGTGGTCTTCATTTATCATGGTCTCTTATTCCTTGTTTGACCTCTCTGTTCTTGATCCAGCTGGGATCTCCTGCTCCCCTAAGCTCTCTTTCCCCTGCCCTTGCCCTTCATTACCACCACATCCAGGTTGTTCATGTAGATCTCATCCATTTCTCTGTCATTGGGCAATCTCTGTTTCTTTCTTGGGGTCCTGTTTTCTAGATAGCCTCCCTTTAGTTGTGAGTAGCAGTCTAGTCATCTTTGTTTTACATCTAGTATCCTATGAGAGAGTACATACCATGTTTGTCTTTCTGAGTCTGGGTTACCTCACTCAGGATGATTTTTTTCTAGATCCATGCATTTGCCTGCAAACCTCATGATGTCATTGTTTTTCTTTGCTGAGTAGTATTCCATTGTGTATATGTACCACATTTTATTTATCCATTCTTCTGTTGAAG